ACTATTTTGGTATTTCATTCGCTCTTATATATACTTAACAGTATAGTGCGTGGGTGTCTACCATCGTCCACCTACCACAAAATGTATCCTTAAATAGCCACAGGAATAACAACGTCGTCTAACGCAATAATTTACGACGAACTAAAGTACCGCGAAGACGCTTTTATGCGAAGCGGGAAAGAGCGCCGGCTGATTCTCCTGAAAGGTGGAATGCCTGGACGAAAGGGTCCCACAAATTACACGCGTTTCGTCGCATTTTATTCGGGTCGTGTCTTTGGGCAGGCCCCCGGGTTCAATCCTGGGTCGGTGATTACGAATTTCTGAGTTCGAATGGCCAAGCGACTAGGAATCGACTCTCTCTGTGTATGCCATCCTTCGGCGTCTTCTGTCAGGACGACGACGATGACGACGACAACTGCGAGTCACAGCGAGGGTGAGGAAGACGGGATTGTCTTAAGCGCCAAATTGCACGTATGCTAAGTGGCCGCGATTCAAATTATTATCATCTTCTAGCCACGGGAATTGCCCTTCCGAGAATGATTACACAGGGACGCGTCGCGTTTATACGGTTTCGCTTTTGGGGGCCTCACAACTTGGGCAGCTTCTCCTCTCCTCATTTGAATGCGATTTGAAGACTGCCAGCGATGCGCAGTCCTTTGTAATTCGATATCTCATCTTAGATGTAGTTTTCCAAAAACGAAATCTTGCACAGATCGTTGATAGGATAAGACAATAAGAAAGAATATTTTAGATTATAACTCATAATACAAAAATTTTTTGGTAATCAATATCTATTTTAAATTAATTAAAAAAATGTGCGTTAAAATATATAAATATCTCGTACATATTTTACTTTATCATGCTTTCCGTATTTTTTGTTATTTAATTTTTTCAAAATTTAATTTTACGTTTAAGGAAAAAATATAGCAAAATATATAGAAACATATATATATGGTATTAAAAAAAATCTGTTACGGTGAAATAAAGAATGAGTGCATGAGAACCTCTGTGGAAATGATAGAGTATACAAAGCAATTCGTGCGCTCGATTAGAGATGATTCTTGTAATATATTATTAATTTGAATACCTCGCGCGTGATGAATTATTTAACGGCGCGATTACCCTAATGCATCATCGCACATCCTTTCTTTCTAAGTTCCTCGTTTCTTGTTCATAAGTGCGAAATTACTTATTCGTGATCACAGACACTAACATTTTTGACCATCTCTGACTAAAAGCCCATATTGATAATCGCCGTTTCTGTCGAAGAACTCAACTAGTTCTAAGACGGTTAAACAGATGAATTTTCAGTCAGTTCATGTTTGCAATAAAAAATTTACAACATATTTGTCATACTTCTAATTCGGACGAGGAACTTGGATGATATCCATCCTTAGGCATACTGAAGTTCGTTTACTTTCCAGTTAGAAAGCATTATCGAATGATTATCTGAAATCCTAAAAATCGAATTACAGCCCGTAGCCAAATATCACCGAACAAACCGCAATAGGAACGTAAAATTAGCGAGGAAGCGTCGCACCTCGGGGGGCATTCCTGAAGACTACGCGAAGCACACGGTACCTCGATTTTGTAGGTGGGTCCAATAGAACACAGAAACTACATTTATCCTCGAGGACCCGGGTAACGTGCTCATCCCGAGACTGAACATCGCGCACCAACAATAATTAGGGCTCGTAATATGGCCCGCGGTGAGGATTTCGAAAAATTCCGAAGCGCCAAATCAACCGGATTCGTCGAATCGACAGATGGCCCCGACAGACGCACAGGAATTCCGTGGGTGGATCCTCGCCGCGGGGACGCTTCCCGGGGCACAGGATTAGGTCCAGAGATCACGGAATTGGTCGTCACGACGGTTGGCCTCTTTCGCCTTTCTTTTCTTCACTTCGACTTCGATGAAGTTAGAAAAATTCACTCCAAAAAAGATACGTATAATATAAAATATATTTTTTTTTCCCACAATTTTCAGTTATTTCTTATCATATATTATCTATCCAACTTTATCTTATAATAATAAAATCTATGTTTTTCAAATTGTATCTATATATATTATTATGTATATATCTTCAAAAATGATTTTTAGAATAGATTCTTTAAATTTGTATATAATCTCTTTCTTATGATACGACTATGATTTAATACTTTTTTTTAGGGCAAACAAAGTTATTTCAATTCTACGAAAATCATGCGAACAAATTTTTTACCTGTTCGGTGTAGTCAGCAGATTTGATATATTACAGCGGCAGTTTTTCCATAATCAACAAAAATAAGCTCTATCTAAGCGTCGAAATTGCCGGTCCTCCATTAAATGATTCTCATTAAAATTTTCGAGACTAGAACGGTTTACATTCGCGTATCTTTACTTCACAGAATCGGACCTATAGAGCGCCAAATTCGGCGCCACAGGTAATACATGCGGGTGGAAGATTGCATGATTACAGTCATTATGGGAAATTTATAAAAAGTCGATTGAGCTTTCATAGTGCGTATATACACCACGGTACGGATCCACACGCTGGAGTAATTTCTCTCTTACGGCGGTCTCTAATCGGCCCGATTACCCGAATTTCTGAAAAACTGGCTCGAATGAGATCAACGGTGGGTCTTCTAATAAAACTTTGGGTTCTTTGGGTATGATTTCGTTATTATCAATACGATCATTTTAATAACATAAATTTTATTGTTTAAATTAGACGTGACATATTATATCGTATCTACAAGAAAAGTACAAAGTTATAAGTTATGCCATATGTATATATAGTACGTTATGCAGTAATACTCGAGTATGAGATAATGAGAGACTTTTATTTTAAAACGTTTACGAACTCGTGTTTGGATATATTGTGAGACAAGGGAGGGAAAATTGTTATGTGGGATAAGGAATATGAGGAGGCGGAGGGGGAGGGAGAGCTCACAAAAAATACAAAAATAAATATAAATCGCCGAAAGCAGTCACGACAGAAGGCACGATAAATTGCTACATGGAAGCAGATGCTTGTATTGAGTCGCTATTAACAAATAATCGCTTCCGTCCCATTCCGTTTGCTCGCCATTGTCATTCTGATCTTTTTGTCAATCATTACAAAACACGTGAAGAAAAAATTTAACGTTTAACAAAGTTCTTGGGTAATAAGATATGAAAGAGTCGTCAAAAATGTGTTTTCATGAATGCAAAAACATTTCGCAACTCGATTATTTTTACAAAACTTTTAATTTCTGCCATTTTAAAAAATCGTAACTGAACGACATTTAAATCAAGAAATGATTTGAACACATTCGTAACAATTTATTTTATCAAAAAGTTTTTTTTCTAAGGAAAAGAAAACAATTAATTTTAAATATTACTTCATGCGCGATCTTGCGAATGATTGAATGCTAAAGATCACAAATATTTTTTTAGCAAGCGGTTAACTTTAATCTCCTATTATTCACCCGTATTCCCTTTATCCTGCTTTCATTATCTCTTATATTTCTTTACTATCTCTTTCCTTATCTCCTTGAATACATTCGCGATCTTAGAATGTGATTTGTCCATACGCCGAAAAGATATGCTAATAGGACAAAGTAAATCTCACTTTTAACAACGTTGATGTCGAAGTAGGGATAAAACAAATAATGATATGGTTGCATCGTCACTCGGCAGATTAATGATTACATCAAAGAATTGCCGAGTTCAGTTGCTGATGAACGTGTATTTACAAAATCTTCGTCCCATGTTCAACCATCGAATCACTACATCAATGAGAAAATTGCTTTCGACAACGCAAAGTGACGCGCATTTTTCTCTTTCTGTTTCGCTGCTACTGCGAGCTTTGGCGATTGCGACAAGCAACTTAAGTCTAATTGTTAGTCCTTACGACTTTATATTACTAAAGAATACTATCTTCTTTGCGCGAATCGCGTAAACTTAGTCACATGTCGCGATGAGTAATTGCTTGACGCTCGGATAAATTCTCTTGATTTATATTATTTTAGTCCGTAAAAAATAGCGATTAATATGAGCGTACGTATATAATTTCTTTCGCAAATACAGATATATATATATATATATATATACTATGTACTAGAACGCGTGTGTATATTTGGCTTGTGAATTGATAACATGTAGATGGAAGTATGAGCATCTATGTAAATTAAACGCACGCGCAACAATTGTGGCAACAAGTATTGCAACAAATCAAGAATAAAATCAGTAGACACAAATATTTCTATTTAGACGTTGTGAAACGATGCAATGACGCAATAATAACAGCGAAAGTAAGAGAGCGTCTAAAAACTAAAATTAAAACGTCCTTTTACAGGAACGTGAGTATTCCTAAAGTTTTCTTAACTTAGCCCAATGTATCTACAATACAGGCATCTCTGATTATAACAAAATCATAATATATTAAAACAGACCGGGAAAAGGGATATATCGCATCGTGGTTCTATTAAGTATGTGTGCATTGTTCCTGAAAAAAGAACATTCTTCGAAATCTGTAAACTTATCCTCTTGCAAAAAAACAAATATTTAAAACTGACGATGTAAACGATCTCACTTCGCATTGCTGTGAAACAGTATTGAAGCGAGGGATTATTCATCCGCAGTCTTGTGACTCCCGATTAAATTCATAGCTAAATACAATCTTACCGATGCTCGTCCCATATCGTGTGATTACACGTTCTTTATTCCCTAACCCAAGTCTTCAAAGCGTGTTGCGTTTTAATCATTTAAATGCTTTACTTTCGCATCAATGTATTACGCTGTGAGTTAATGACACAGTCATATAAATCAAAGTTTTAATTGGTCATTTAATGAATAATTAAACTGTGCAAATATGTTAGAATATCGTTTAAAATTCCTCTTTTTGTGATTATAATCTCTATAGGATTACTTAAGAGTCGAAATTAAAATCTGAACCTTTGTGGGATCAATTCAATGTAAAAAAAAGAGACAAATCTAGACAATATTGTCAAATATGAATTATTATGTTAAAATATTCTTGAAAGAATAGATAAATAAATAATGGTGCATTATCATGTCAAGCCTTTAAACAGGCGGTAAGGCCCACAACGTTGCAGTTTTGTCAGCGGAAGTACTGAGAAACGAGAATTCCGTAGGATGCCAACGTCCGGAGATGACTTTGTCCTGATGTTGAGCGACTACGACGCTAGGCAGAGGCATTGTAAGATCGCCTGCAATATATCATGTTGAAATTACTCGATTGTTACAATACTTGTATTATAAATAAATTAATTGTTTAAATACTCTGTCAATAATATTTCTAAGAGATTAAAATCAATCAAGAGAAACTCACCTTGCAAATCTGTGAGTACCAATTTGTTGTCATATCCAGCCGTCAATAAATAATACGCCGACGGTGAGAATCGTATGCTCCTGATATCTGCCGCGTGAGGTTTGAAGCACTGTACCGTTCTACCACCGCGAATGTCGAAAAGAACACAGCTACTGTCTTCGTGACCGGACACCAACAGTCGGCCAGACGGATCTACGCACAGTGCAGCTACGGGACTACCGACCTGTAATGGAATCAGATGCTGATCAGACAAACAATACTGCTTCTATTCTTGATAATCAGAAGTAACGTCCGATAAAAATCCGATTTAGATAGGAGAAAGTAATTAATGCTGTGCGATTGGAAAAGATGATAGTGTAATCTAATAATGTAAATCGAATATTTATCGGACGTAGAATTTAATATGATGTCAGAACAAAACAGAAAAATGTTGATGATGCAAGGATTCTAAACAATAATAGAATTTTTAAAAAAATTTATCCATTTCTCAATCTTCACTTTAGATGATCACTACAAACGTATCGACAGAGAACCTGACTCACCCGGCTGCCAGGTACCGTCGCAGGTGTAACCATATTGACACAGCTCCTCGTCCTCAGATCCCAGAATCTGACTGTTTTATCCTGCGATCCGCTGACGAACATCGCTCCGCCCCAGTTGTAAAGCGTCAGCACGTGGCCGCTATGACCACTCAAGGCTTGGAAAGGTGTACCGGTCGTGCAATCGGTAACATAAATCTTGCAGTCGCCAGCACCACCGCTGATCAAAAGGCTCGATTTATTTGATGTGTCCTCGAGGAAGCACAGGTCGCGCACTGTACCATCGTGCATCGTCAATTCGACCTCTTGCCCTGAAAATTAAATGCAAAAAATACAGAATCTTGTAACAATAGTAAGAAAGATAATCAGATAAATATAATAGATCTGATTAACAATTATAAATTAGTTACGTATCCCGCTAAAGGACTAATGAATTGGATCCTAGTGAAATGATTTGTACATAACGTAGCTTATCGTGTAATAAATGAAAATATTATAAATAATACAAGGTTAAATAATCGCTAGATTTTTAGCTATGATGTATTAAAAATGTAAAACTTGTGCTCACAGAGTATATTTGATGTACCATAGCTTAAAAGTTAACTCATTTCACTAGGATCTAATTTTTATATAATTAATGCGAGGTCCTTTCTAAATTATGAATTACTTTTCAATATTTAAGCTACAAACTGCGAGTATTGTAGCTTGAACCGCTTTCAAAAATGCAAATAAAGAAATTTAATAATTTATGTATTCGATAAAAAATTCAGAATAGAAATGAACTGGATTTATAATTCGAGACTTGCTTTTCTTTTCTTAATACAATTCGATTTTTTATAATAATCAAAATTATATCTACAATACATCCAGAAAAGGGTTTCTTCAATTTAAAGAAATGTTTTTTGCTATATATATGATTAAAGAAAACATCTCTTTTAATTTCGAATGAACCTTTCTTTGGGTGTATCTTCGATTAGCAATAGAGTACCTTCAAGATTCGACGTATCGGCGTTAAAGCGCATTAATTTCACAGTTTTGTCATTGCTTCCGGTCGCGATCAGCCGACCATCCGGTGTCCACGCGAGACAGTATATAGAGCCTTTGTGATGCTTCGTTCTCTTGAAGAGAACGGTAGGTTGATACGTTTGATGATCCTCCCTGAAAGAGAAACACACAATTCTATTACACCGGTATTAAGTACGTGATGAAATGCAACATTTTGACAATTCGCAACGGCATTATAAATCATCCATCTGAAAGAGGAGATTCCATTTCGCTCTATTCCACGAGCCATTAATCTACCTCAAGAAGGAAGAATGCTCAGGTTCTCGCGAACGTCACTTTCATCGAGCTATTTTTCTTCCTCGTTTCCAGCCTTCATTAACCGCGTCTCTAATTGAAGTCGATATTGTGTACACCGACTACGGGATTCCACCGTGGAAATGAAAAAGAGGCTTTGGTGGTCTCAAAGAGACGACGCACCGCCGCGCCGCGCTGCGCCGCTTTCACGGCGCCAGTTCTTATGCAGATTTTAATTAAGCACTGCTCTTTTCCCACCACACGCAGCCAACGCGTGTGAAATCGCGATCACTTACTCCTCTCCCCCCACATTTACTGATCAAGATATTCATCCATAAAATCTTCCCCGATATTAATTATTATTCCCCTTGAATCTATTCGACTTAAGCATGACGCGCGAAATTAACGTCACTTCTGCTGCAATTTCCAGCGAGCGTCGAAGAGGAACGACTTTCGAAAGTGACGATACGATTATTCGCAGAGGCGGTTTCTCCGGATAATAACAACATAATTGGAGAAATATTCAGTGATAAAAATTATAGCACAAATAAATTACTGCGTACAGTTATTTTACAAAAATTAACAGATATAGTGACGTTGAAATATTCTCTTGAAATATGTGATGAGAAATTTTACAAAACATGTTCTTATATTAAAGTTAAAATAAAAAATTTTTTAAACTCTAAATTTAATTTTTCTAATTGATCAAAATTCAAGTCGTAATAATTATAAGTATAAAACAACTGCAAAATTAAGTCTTGTTGTAAATTTTAAACTTGATGAATAACTCCTGTAGCTTTACTTATGTATGCATTCTGCATGATAAAATATCAGGAAACAATTGTTAAAATTGAAATAGTAAATTAAAAATGTCGGCAGGAAAGAAATTTATACTTGTATCTCAATTTGCTGGAGCAACTGTCTATAATAAACTAAAAAAACACTAATTTTTTTATATTTTGAAAGTTGATACAGGAATTGTGTGAAAAAAGAAAAGTACAATAAAAAATAGAAATTTATGACATATGTAAAAATATACTTTCACTTATCAATCTGGTGTATGTGTGTCCATCGTGTTTGTATGTGTTTATTAGTTTATGTTAACTACAATTACTATTATTAGTTTTCACATCTTATTCTTTAGCATTTTTTTCACTTCGTATATAAATTAAAATTATACAAATTCTCACGAGCTAGAATATTTAACGCGTAATTTATGTGTATCCACTCTATTTTATTCTTAAGCAAATATCTTTTTTACAATCTTGATAGTAGCACTCGCCGACAACGTTACTTTAATTAGAAGCCCAAGTAATGAAACTGCAGACTTACTGTCTGCAATACAATGACATAAATGTCAACGGCGTGAAGCGATATCACAATTTCAAGTCGAGCAATGGGATACAGATGGACATCGTACTACTCGTATAATTGCACAATACGGAGTCCCTCAATAATCATATTTTCAACAAACTTTGCTCACATCACATTGATTTTTGCTTCTATCGCAACACCGAGTGTCACGAAGAACAATCTCTTGGCGCTTCGTAATTTTACGCAGGAAACGCGTGCGTATCATTAACGTCTAATTGTAGCAGCGTCTCAGATAGAATAGTCGCGTTCTTTGGGATCATTAAGCGAATTTTACGAGCCGTTTATTCGCACGTCTTACTGTAACCGTCATAGGATATACTTATAAGGCGGTGCTTGAGAAACACTTCGTATTCGATGGCGCTGTCCAAGTAGTAATTTCGAAAGTTACGCAAGATACACGCGTATGTCGCACACTTTACGTTTTAAGTAATACGGATAGGTATGAATTTTCTACGGTGCAACGGTAATTTATCTCGCGTGCGCAAACTTTCTCGACGCCGACGAGAATTGTTCCGCGCGCGAAACAACAGCACGAACGGAGTACGAGGCTGCTCGCAAACGGACAAATGGAAATTGTTGCGCGTTATTGACTTTGGACACAAATTACAGCTCGTTGAACTTACCGGAACATCGTAATACAGCGTTAAATGAGCACTGCCGTGAATTGCCGTACACGGAATATTCTGCGAGTGAAAGGGGACCGTTGTCTACCTTGTTTGTTGTCTACCTTGTAATGCAAAACAGATTGTCTTGAGGTATAACGTTATAACGTAATGCTACCTCAAAAAACGAAACTACAATTTCATTCCAAGCAATTTCTACACGTCGTGTAGGAATTATTTTTGCCTTTTTATTATTCTTAATTATAACTTCGTTATTTATTCATCCGCAACTACTTTACGTTCTCCGGTTTTTTAAATCGCAAACTGACATTATTTTCTGTAATCCATTTCCATGTTTTTTTTTTCGTTCATTGAAACTTATAACTAATTTGAATTTGTGCGAAAATTCTCGAATTTTTCGATTTTTAACGCGTTTATAGTTAAAAGGCAATTATATTCAAGATATCGATCCATTAAAATTATACGGAATTGTTCAGAATTATATAATTGTACAAATATGATGACAGGAAAGATAAAATATTGCGAATCGCGCATTCAAGACGATGTAAACGGAAACAATGTGTTACAGCATGGTGGTAACCGGTAATGGAAAAAACTGTACCGACAATCCACATTCGCTGAACACGCTGGAATGCTCCGTTTGGCATGAAGGCCTCTGCCGCTCGTTAGGCTAGCACACCGCGTAAAATTAGTTTAGCAGACGCGAATTTATACTTGACCAGCCTCAAATTTACATACGATGAAGCTCTTTTGTTACGAATGAGTGACAACAAAGACTTGTCGATTATAATCAAACCAGCTTATATATAAGATTATTCTTGACTTTCTATAAAGTTAATTTAATATGTACCTTTTTCTTAACTATATATATATATATATATATATATATATATATATATATATATATATATATATATATATATACATATATGTACATAAACCAGATATTTTTAATGCAAACCAACAATTATCAAGAATCTTGTTTCTCGTTGATCATTGATTCTTAAAACGCCAGAGATTAATTATATCCTTGGAAGTTGATTGAAGAACGTTATCACTTGGTAAAATATTCATTACCAACCTGTTTTCTATTGATGCAAATTTAAGTCTGAAAGGTTAGCATTTGTAACGAGAAACGGTACATATAACGATCCATGTTTTTGGTGCGTACATTATTGCATAAATAATATTACCTACATGTGTATTGCATATACATATATTACAAAGTGTAATATCTCGCCAAATTACAGTTTGTGATATTTGCGGTAATATCGAATTCCTTTTCCTGCGATAAAGAATATCTATTGCAACGTGGGAGAACGCATTTGATTAATCTCTGTTCTAATTATATCGCAGAGCAAAGTTGCGTTGATATTATCGCATCAAGATGATAGATAAGTCGGAGAGCTTATTGAATAGCGTGACGCGTTCCGCTGTAAGAGCCGTAATTTCTCTCGCGCTTCGCAGAGGCATTTTTCGTGGTGCGCTATCTCGGGATCCGAAACGTGTCCACCATAAGTAAAAACGACGCCAAGCTCGGTTGAACAGGATTTATCGTTGCAACGACAAGCGGCGAATTTCAGCTCGCGCTTATCGCAGATGTAAAGTTGTTTCGCCGTCGACGATTCTCCCCACGTATCCCAACGATCAGATCGGCTTTTAGTCGACTTGTAATTTACAGTTATTTTATGGCTGGACCCATTAAAGTACATTACAACTCTCTCTCTCTCTCTCTCTCTCTCTCTCTCTCTCTCTCTCCCTCTTCTTTTTTGTTTTTTTACTTTTTTTCTTTATGAATTATTTTTACACTCTGTATCATGGTTACTTTAATTTGTACGTTGAGCCGGTAGAACGGTATAATAAACGGTATGTTTTGTAAAATGGCTGTAGACTTTTTAGTTAATCAATAAATTACACTACTACTATACTAAACGATATAATAAAAACACACACACACACTCTCTCTCTCTCTCTCTCTCTCTCTCTCTCTCTCTCTCTTCGCAAAAGCATAAATATAAGTTCGTCCGATTTCTTCCGATTTGACAGAAATTATATATTCTCCGTTACTTAAGTTTTTTGATAATTGCATAATGTGAACCCATTATCTTTACGTAATCTTTACCCGTTATCTTTACGTAAGACGTAAAAATATAGTGATATTGTAATTCATCGAAGAATGCTTATTCGAGACTGTCATTATCCGTCGATATACTATCGCGAAATGTCTTATACGCGACAATCAAAACGTCTGTTGCAAGACACGAGACAGGCGGCAATGTTACGATCACATTATTTCCGCGCTTCGATTGAGTTGCAATTGCAATTTAACGATTTCTCGAGCGCCCAGTGCGAAACGGCTTCCGTTTCGCTATCATATAGGACTCCCGTCACTGATATGAAATGCATTTTGTAGAAAGTTCGTTTCACATTATATTATATTAGTAATTATATATATTTATACGTATATAAATAATAAACGTATAATAATTGTTTTATTTACAAAAGCATTTAATAAAAGAATGTTCATGAAAATATCAATTTTTTAATTATTATATTAATTTGTCTCGGAAAGTGATTAGAAAAATTATTAAAAATAACCAGAATTAGGTTATCAGAATATCATGAGATTATTTTGTAATGTATGTAAATTATATTTTATAATCCTAATTATATAGAATACAAAAGTGAAAATATCATAAACTTATCATAGAGAGAACCCCGAATGTAATATTTCTGAAAACTTTTGAACGCCGAGATAAATTCCCCGACGCTTAATGGATGCGATAATTAACGAACGTGATTCTTACCTGACATCGTGTAGTTTCGGATAAGCACATATTCGTAACGTCTTCGAGTTCGATCCCACAGCGTACAGCTTCCCATGGGGGTGAAATTCGGCGCAGCGTATCGCCTGCACGTCCTCCAGAGCGGTGACGGGAACGAAACGCGGTCTCCCGCCGCCGTTGCTGCTTCCATTACTAGTATCGAGTTCCGGTCTCGGTTCTTGCTGTAAAACGAGATGCACGATCGTTACTCAATTAGGTATTAATACGTAATTATCATCGTGCGAGCGAGCGAGCGCATGGAACTAATAATATATCCGTTGTAGCGCGGACGATTAGGAGCCACGCCGTTGCAGCTCTTGCAAAAGGAATGCAGGCGGAAAAGGTACAGCTATCGTGATACAACATATTGCTTTAACGAGATCTAATGAATGCCTGCCGGCGCAAAGCAACTGTTTCTATTCGTGGAAAGGACAAGTACCGCCGCTAGTTGCGGATGCACTTCTGCGTCCGGTGGCCACGATGAATATGGAAACGTTGCGGTGAGATGAACGTAATATCGGAACAATATCGTTATGCATTCGATATTTGCACATTCTCGATGCTTCCTATTCACTTACAAATTACATATGTTAAAATTACATAAAGTAGTTTACAATAGTGTGTAAATACATTTACACACATTTACATATATTATTATAATTACATATAGAAAACAGTTTTAAGATTGATAAAAAAATACTCAAATAAATAAATTTAAAAAATATTTAACAAAAAAAAACACTAATATGAGCTATAAGAACAAATAAAAGTAAACAATTAATGAAAAAATACAGGTGTACATATCAAAAATTAATATCACTCAGGTAATGATTGAATTACAAGGATGGTTTTAAATTTTTTTTGGGGAAAATTGTGTACGAGATGTTAATTACAATCTTGATAATTTTGTGGTAATTAGTACTTTCGTTTGATTTTTTCGCTACTATTAAATTTCTTTTTTCGGACCAATTAATATGCTCAACATGGAGGTATACATGTTTATGTATACATAAAGAAATTTCACTTTCTCGTTTCGCACAAGACGCAAATGATGCACACTTCTTGCGAGACAGTTATTGCTCCAAACTCGCTAAACCAGCTCGCGTATTGCAGACGGAGAGCCGGACGGAAGGCGAAAAATTCAGAAACGTTAGAAAGTTTAGACCCTGAATGAATTTCTACCTCACCGGTTCTGTATAAGCAGTTCATTTCAATATTTATGCAATAAGATAAACTGAAAAAGTCGTAGTTTTCTTCTTTCCGGCGTTATTAAATGAAATGCACGAGAGCTGAAGGTTTTCTATTTGAAAACAAGAAAAATAGCGAAATGTGTGCGGTGAAATTGATGCAGATCGATTTCACGTAGCCATTTTCCACATGTTATAATCATAATCCTATCTCTTCAACATCACAATTAAGCAACTGTTATGGAATTACTATTCGCAGAAAAAGCTCGCAATGTTTCTTGGCGCAAAGTACTTTTTTCTGACGCTACAGATCCGGAATTGTTTCGCGATTCGTGTTTGCGCAACGGTGCGCTTCGCCACGCTTTTACTTTCATGGTACGAGATTGGCTGCGACCGTTTATCTAGATGGATAAATTAGCAAAGCAAATGGATACTCTGCCTGCTGTTGTTCTCTTCTTGGCAAACCGTGCAGCACGAGCGGAATTATGAGTACTCGCGTGCGTTTTCACGTGGCGGTATATACAATTTAACGGCGCCGAAGCTGCTTCTTGCCAATTGAAATGACTTACACACGTGTAATTAGATCTCGAATGCGTGCGTGATAGGCGCAGATCTTCGCGAAGAGATGAAAGATATAAAGAAGCCGTAAAAACCGATATACATGTTTCCAAGTTTAATCATTATTAATTAAAAAAGAATTTTCTAGCTATCGCGTTCGATGTAAAGATAAATCACAAAAAATATTTACATCGTTATAAAAGTAACATAAAAGAACAATAAAAGAGAGATTGCATTAATAATGGTATTCAATATACCACTTGTTTCACAATTCTATTCTTATGTGAATAAATGTCACGAAATCCAAATCAATAACCATTGTATTCATTGGTTTCCTTCAATAAGAATTTTTTATCTAATTTCAATATGTCAGTCCGAACAATAAGTGAACGGAATTGAAGGGTGAATCAGATTAGATTTTTAATTGCAATCTTGCTTGCTAATCCATTACCTTTCACCTTCAGTTGTTCTAATTTGGTATGAAACGTTTTTTACGTCTAAACATTACATTTTACGTAAAAAATTTTAATTCTATTCACTTTTCAGTCGACCGTCATTATTACATCGTGAAAAAGAAAACGACAGTGCACCTCGATGACTCTTTTGCGAACAAACATCTCGCAATTTACGAGTGAGAACGGGGCCAAAGAAGAGGATCATCGATCGTAGATCTGAGAGAGATTCCCATTTCCGTGGAAATTCTGGCATTCTCCATGCGGCGATCTCCCGGGTGATTTAACGAACCGGAAACGTTTCTCGATCGTAATTCTGTCGGGAAAAGTAGATGAAACATCAGGGAAAGATATAATTGAGAAGCCTAGTTTTGCCGGTCGGTCAGTCAACTCGTCGGCCGTCGTTATAGACGTTTGGTCTTAACAGCTCTGTACAAGCGATACCTGCGAAAGCGTTTGCTACCGACGTTATAGACAGAAACTCTATAGCATATGGATGGATTACTTCGAGACGCCGAACGAAAGCGGGACGAAGATGACGCAAATGCATAGTTTCGAATACCGTACTGTTTCGCGTTCGATCTCTCAATACTGTCTGTATAGCAATAGAATCATCAATGAATGAAAGTCTTATCTAACAAAACGTTGTTCCTTAATAATAAGATTACAATATGAATGTTTGCTGTTAATATCTACACGGAAAGAATAGTTTTACTGAAGTATGTAAAAATTTTGCTAGATATAAATCTAAAAATAATTTTATTGAACTATCAAAATAATTATGATTGCTTTACAGCATTGCTTATTATATTTGAATTTCCTACGTAATTATTTTAATGGTCTAACAAAATTATTTTCGAATTTGTTACTTATAGCTAAATTTTTTTAGATACTTCAAGCAAAATGTCTGAATAAAGGTATACAAAGATATATAATTGTCTAAATAAACAATCTATTATATGTATAACGTTAATATCGATATACATCCGGATTTACAGATAATTAATAATAAATAATTGACATCCGCGACCTTAATGCTTCTATAAATGATCACCTCCTCCGTGCTCTTATAAGAAAGGAAAGATGGATCGCGGAGAATCCACCGGATGCCCTGAAGGCCTTCGGACACGCGTCTCCGATCGAAGATTGGAGGGACGGATCCAACGACGCGTGGCGCGATGAAAAACAACTAATAAAGGGGCCTTGACCTGATTCGTCGACTCCGGCTTTTTACTTTTCTCCATCTCATCATTAAAAAATGATGTGACGCGCGCGAGAACCTATACGTACATATGTCGTGCATATAAATATGCGAGGTATTAATGATAAATTTACTCGTTCTAGATACGACCTGTGAGAGACAAATCTCTGTCAACAGCTCGACGTTAACGATGTTAATTACAAATTGCGACGACGAATATGATCGAAATTTTCACTTTTCTCTGAAAAACCGGTTGAACCGGATCTATCCGTGATCGTTTTCGATCGTCTAAGTAGATATCCATAGAAAAAGAAACAAAATTTGATGATTAGTTTAATTGAACAGATACGAAGCATAAATCTAGGTACATATAAAGTACCTTCGATATATTTCGTACAACAAAAACTGGTGAAACCAATCGACTTCTGTATATCTGGGTTACGGCACACTTTTTCGTCGTTAATCGGTATATTCATACAGAAATCGAAGGTGCACATGCGTGTGCGAGCTTAAGGGCACTCGAAATTTCGACGCGCGAATTTCACCGTGTGTTTTAATACGAATTCTTTATGTGTAGTTACGAGTGCCCTGCAACCAGGAAGAGAACGCTCGTAGGAAGAGAACCATCGCGCATCATATTCTGTACTTTAAAAGCATATTACGTATAATTAATGTGTTCAACTCCCTATTTAGCGCGTTACATTCAATTAATATGATTAATTGTAGTTACACTCAGAGCCTTAACTTCAAATTCATTTTTATCAAGATACAAAATGCGAAACTATATTAAGAAATAATTTGTCTTATATTAATGAGAATAACAACCGAAAAATTTATTCACCTATGCTAAGCGAATGCGGAAGTGAATTAAGCATCACGAATACACAGTGTTAAACACACAATTCTTGGCAGTATTATCGAATAACGAAGACTTTTCAAGTGAAACGCATATATTCTTGAGAAATAGAAGCAGATTAATGCAAGAAGGTTGATAAATTTCGAGAGTAAAATGTAAAACGATTCCAGAATTATGGTGACATTTCATAAGAGGTCACTTGCAGCCAACAAGTTTTCGCACTTTTTTCATCTGCGAACGAGATATAATTGCATTCGGCCTCAAACGAGCCTAGTATACTATATACACAATATTTCTCAACTATAAGAGACATTTAAGTCGACTGGATGTAAACTGGTCACTTCTGGATGTAATAGCTCAAACGATGATATCGGATCGCCTAAGGAAACCAGGTGAAGCTATAATCTGCGTAAATCTTTAGATACTGCAAATCCTGATTATTGCAATAAATTGGTTATTAATTAATCCGTCTATTATTATTCAGCTACTATAAGAGCGTTCTTATTCTAGACTGTAGAGTATAATCTGTGAATGTATCGTCTTGAATTACGAGCATTAATTTTCTTACGTAGCGGTAATTTCGACTCTTGAGGAAGTCTCCGTAACTTTCTACCGTATGTACGAAACGCACGCGACGGAGATTATAATTAAATGGTCGATTACAACGTGGCGCAAAACGCTTTTAGTTAATAGTAGGCTCGCTCCCGAAGCGGGAGAGGAACTAGAAAATTATATCGTTGCTGCTTTCGACATACGTGCAGTTCGTGCCCATTCACTGAGAACAAAATCACTTTGCCAATACAGACAATTCCTTTTTTTAGTTGTCGCGAGCTGATGTGTCCTGTCACACCGATTAATTGCGTAATGCAGAGAATACCTCGCTTTCACTAAAGAAACAGTCTCGATTACCGTGCATCGATCATTTGCT